GCATCGTATATGAAGTCACGACACGCATAACAGTAAAGCGTGCCGTGCGACAGCTCCAATGCGATATTGTGTTTCTTGGCCCTCAGATGGCTGGTGATGTGAGCGCCGCGACAGCCRAAGTAGATGCAATGCAGGCAGGCGTACAGCTGGATGCCATAGCTGCCGCACTCGAAGCAATTGCAGTGTATGGCCTATGGAGAAGGGGTTAGGGAGGGTTGGTTCTGCTACTGCGTGCTGCTGCTGTTGCTGCTGCTGCTCACCTTTTTCTCACGCGCATCCTTGTTGACGCAGGCAGCGAAGTAGGCATCGATAACACGAAAGGTATCGTAGCTGTGCTCCTTTACGTAGCTCTGATAGTGCCGGCAGCCCGTTTCCGACATGTCGTTAACGTTAGCGTCGCTGTCGCCGTCGACGTCGCTGCTGTCRCTGACGTTGACGTTGACGTCGGCTTTACCGTCGAGCTCAGCGGCAAGCTTTTGCACGGTGCGCAAGCAAACGGGCAGCGACAAATTCGTCGCATTCAGTGGACCCTTTGTTAGCTGTGCGCCTTCCACGCCCCCACCGACCCGCCCACCACTAACAACAACAGTTTCCTCAGCCGGACACCGGCCGGCAGCCGCCTCTGTGTTTGTTGCTGTTGTTGTCGCTGCTGCGGCCGCTGCCGCTGCCGCCGCCGCTGCTGCTCGAGTAAGTGTTGTTGGCGCTGTTGCTGTTGTTGTTGTTGGGAGTAAACGAACTTCAGGTACAACGTCGGCCGCTCCCCGGCCCAAAGACGCGTATGCGCGCTTGCTGTTGTTGTTGTTGTTGCTGGTGTTGTTATTGCCACTGCTGGCTCGACTGCCGGCGCCGCTGCTGCTACCGCTGCCGCTGCCACTGCTTAAAATGCTTGTCGTACTATCAACACTGTTCTCTTTTGTTTTCGTTCGTTTTGCAGACGGCTGTGGCACTGTGGTTTTATCACACTTGCGCTGTTTTCGTCGAATTTTGGCCACTTTTATGCTGAACACGGGGCACGAATTGTGTAAAATAGGAACTTTGTCGTTTTGTGGCCTTCTGATCAGTTTTCTGCTTTTTTCAAAGACACTGATTTTGCACACACGCACACACACACACAAATGCCACAGCGCACACACGCACAAACACACACACACTCGCACACGCACAAGCACACATGCATGGGTAGCGGACACAAACATACGAAAAACGAAGCAGCGAGCAGAGAACAGCGCACACAGCTGAAGTCGACTCTTGTATTGTTGATATAATATCGATACCAAGCGATGCTATTTTTTTCTTCACATACTTGCGGCGATGTTTTTCAGTACCGATAGATAGTGTGTGAAAATCATCGACAACAAAATTGCACATTTAATACAGTATTTAAAATAAAATATATATTTTTAAATAAAATGCAGTTTCTTTCATTATTTTAAAATTAATGTAAGAGCTGACAGCTTTTGTTATCTTGGCGCTTAAATTGTGTTTAAGTATTTTTGTGGTATATAAATTCGTGTGGAATATATCTGTGTGGCCAAAGTAACATAGTGCTAAAATATATAAAAATACTGTCAGTTGAAAGGATTGATTTGTCTTTCAAACAATTTTATTTGTATACAATATTTGCAGAGAATAAATTGAAGCAATGGAAAAGTGCTGCCGCGTTTGCAGAGATAACACAAACAAATTAGTGGACATCTTTGACGAACATGCAGCGCTGGAGAACGARCCCAGCCTGGCCGAAATGCTGGCCGACTGCACCAGCTGCGAGGTAAACAAAGATGATGCACTGCCTCAACAAATGTGCGAATCCTGCATTGCGGATGCACGCCATTTCTATGAATTCAAGCGTAAGTGCGAGGAGAGTCAACAGTATTTCTGGCAAATGCTCGACGCGAACAATATGCAGCTGGCCGAATGGGCTGAGGATATGATCTCAGTGAAAATTGAAGAGCCGCAAATTGAGGATTTGACTGATGAAATGGACAAATGTGAGTACACAGATGTGCAGACCAAAGTCGAGGACACCTGGAACTCGGACATCTATTCGGCRTGCCAGTTTAAAATCGAGTGTGATGTGATCTGTGAGACAAATGGCGAAAACTTTACGCTGGACGAGTCGTTACCCAGCAAGAACTCAGCAAATTGCTGCTCCACCTGCGGCAAGGAATTCCAGAGCAAAAGGAAACTCATACAGCACGAGCGTTTTCATGCCCGCAAGCGTGAGCACAAGTGCCAGATGTGCCCCAAGGAGTTTGTCAATCCCGGCAATCTGGCGGACCACATCCGCGCCCATACGGGTGAGCGACCCTACAAATGTCCGCATTGCGTGAAAGCCTTCACCCAGCGCGGCCGGCTCAATGAACACATTCGGACMCACACAGGCGAACGGCCCTTCAAGTGCYTGGAGTGCCCCAAGACCTTTGCCAATGCTGGCAATCTAACGGTACACAAGCGAATCCATACGGGAAAGCGCCCGTACAAGTGCAATATGTGCCAGGCATCATATGTCCAGCCGGGTGCCCTGCAAAGGCATCGCCGGGTGCATCTAACCGACAAGCGGCCCTTCAAGTGTGTCATCTGCCTGATGCCATTCCTCAAGAGCTCCTATCTCAAGCGACACATGAACAGCCACACAGATGATCCGAACTTCCTGAAGGGTATGGGTGTGAATCTCAGTTGAATGTGAACAAATGTAGAAGCTCAAAAATATTTGTACTATCGTTTATGGAAACCCTTTGAGAATTATCAAAGAAAATCAAAAAGAAAGATCTATATGTGAACTTATACAAAAGATTTGCAAAATCTTTAATATTAAAAAAAAAAAAACAAATTTAAGAAATCTGAAATGTCCAAGCTGGCATTTCACAGAAAATAAGAGAAAAATAGGATCTGAATTTGAAAATATTTATAAATCAATTATACGAAAAACATATTTCCAAATAATTCAACTAGAACAGAAAATTGTATGGAATTGTAAATTGTATATTTAAAAATCAATTATAACAAATAGCTTGTGAATGTTCTTAATATCTGCATAAATGTTAAAACCYATTTTTATGAATCAACTAAGAATTTACATTACATAAAGTTTCTACTCGAAGCTGAAGAAGCACACCCTAAAAAAATGTTAATTAACCTATATTATTTTCAACAATTTTAAATATTTATTAATTGTACGAAGTCTTTTAAGAACTCTAAAGGAACATTTCTATCAAATTTCTGATAAAGACAAAACAATTGTTGGGAATGACTAGCTTATAGTTTATATTTTTGGAAACACTAACGAATTGGAAAATTTTAAATATTGTGTATCAATATTTTTAAGCGAATTTCAAGAAAATTATTTTTGTAAAATTTTTT